CTGAATGGGGAAGGCAACTTACTAACCAATGGAGTGGAAAAGCTGAAGTACTCTATGCTTTTTTGTCTAAGACTTCACAGACAAAGCCAGCTCCCAGACTGCTGCACTGGGCAGCACAGTATGGGGAGGAAGTGAGCAGCCCTCAGATGTGAAAGAACAGGTTTAGTGCTATTTAGAAAAGCTGGACATGCACAAGTTCATGGGGCCAGATCTAATGTATCCGAGGATGCTGAGAGAATTGGCTGATGTGATTGTAGAGCGATTGGCCATTATCTTTGAAAACTCTTGATGATTGGGGGAGATCCGGGATGGTTGGAAAAAGGCAAATGTAGGCAAATGCCCATCTCTGAAAAAGGAAAAGAGGAGGATCCGGGGAATTACAGACTGGTCAGCCTCACCCCAGTCCCTGGAAAAATCACGGAGCAGGTTCTCAAGGAGCCCATTATGAAGCACATGTTGGAAAGGCAGGTGATCAGGAATAGGCAACATGGATTCACCAAGGGCAAGTCATGGCTGACCAACCTATTTGCCTTCTATGATGAGATAACTGGCTCTGTGGATATGGAGAAAGCAGTGCACATGATATACCTTGACTTCAGAAAAGCTTTTGATACAGTCCCCCACAATATTTTTGCCAGCAAGTTGAAGCAGTATGGCATGGATGAAAGGACTATAAGGTGGACAGAAAGCTGGGTAGATCATTGGGCTTAACAGGTAGTGATCAATGGCTCAATGTCTATTTGGTAGTCAGGATCAAGTGGAGTGCCGCAGGAGTTGGTCCAGGGGGCGGTTTTGTTCAGCATCTTCATTAATGATCTGGATGATGGGATGGATTTCACCTTCAGCACGTTCACAGAAGACACTAAGTTGGGGGGAGAGGTAGATACACTGGAGGGCAGAAGTAGGGTCCATGGTGACCTAGATAAATCGGAGGATTGAGCCAAAGGAAAGTGGTGGAATCGCCAACCTGAGAGGTTTAAGGCCAGGCTTGACCAAGCCATAGCTGGAACGATTTAGTTGAGGATGGTCCTGCTTTGAACAAAGGATTGATTTAGATCAGCGGTTCCCAGCTGCCAGACCCTGCACCACTTCCTGTTAAGCCTCAGTTGCCCTCGGGGTCAGAGCTGGGGTACACCACTCCTGCTCTGCCCCCGGATCTTAGCCAACCAGCACCAGGCAGGGGTAGGGTTTCCTCCTGGACACAGAAGAGCACCTTGCTGCATGGCGGGAGGGCTTCACAGAACCTGGCACGGCAGCCTTAGAGCAGCCATGACCCAGGCAGCAGCACTCAGCTGGCGGCTGGGAGGCAACGCAGGGCTAGGTGAGGGGGTGTGGCAGGCACTAGTGGGTCTGGGGGTAGGGCTAGTGCTGAGGGGCTTTGTGGGTGGGGGGCTCTAAGAGTCAGGAGGCTGACACTGGAGTGTCTGGGGTAGGGAGCTGGCACTGGAGGGCTCTGGGGGTGAGGCTGGGAGTGGGGAGGTTTCTGGGGGCAGGGCCAGCTCTGGAAGGTCTGGGGACGGGGCTAATATTGGGGACTGGGGGCTGGAGGGAGGCTGTGGGTGGGTTGGATGCTGTGGATCTCTGAAAATAGGAGGCTGGCCCTGGGGGCTCTGGTGGTGGTGGGGCTCTAAGGGGCGGGGGACTACCACTGAGGCATTTGGGGGCTGTCACTTGGGGCTCTGAGGGAAGGAGGCTGGCACTGGGGGGGTTGGATGCAGGGGACTTTGGGGTCTGTGGCTGGTGCTGGAGGGTAGTGGAGGGGTGGGGGCTTTAGGGTAGGGATGGCACTGGGGAGCTCTGGGGGCTGGAGCTTTTGGGGACCGGTAACATTTTATTTATATATTTGGTATTTGCATAATTAACATGCAAATAAAATGTTACCGGTCCACCAAAAGTTTGTGAATGGGTTTGCTGATCCCCCGTGTAAGAAAGGTTGGGACCCACTGGTTTAGATGACCTCCTGAGGTCTCTTTCAACCCTGTGATTCTAGGAGTGTGAATGCTGCAACTGCACACATGAGGGTCTCCAAGTGAACAGTAATTTTAATAGTACAACCTGTCAAACTTGAGGGAATTCCTAAGTAAACAATATAATTAATATACAACCCAAAGGTCAAGCTACAAATTGGGCATCCCACAGCCAAAACCAAAGCATCCCACATCACTAGTCACTTCTGAAAACATTGGCCCAGAAGACTTGTAGCCCTCAGAATGGAATTCACTTTTAAAAATCAAGCTTTAAAATTCCTATTGTACTTCTTAAGGCCTCAAATCAAAGCTACCTTTAGCAAAACCCTACCAAGGTTTTTGGCATTGTATTTTGGATTGGGTTTGAAGCTGAAATCGTCATCCTCTTTTGGTGACATCATAATGCACTGCTATGAAGATGTCCCAATTCCAAACAGAAAATTATGATTTCAAGGAATAAACTGCAAATGAAATCTTAAACCACCATGACCCTCAGTTTTTATGCAATTTTTCTAGTAATCAAGAGTTAGAGACAGAATACCGAAAACATACACTATCAAAGCAGAAATATATTAGAAAGAAGTTTTAAATGAGTCTTCAATTACTCTTTAAGCATACAATCTAGATTTAATAAGGCCGTAATTAGATGCTACATTTCACACCATTTATATGCTAAGTGAACGCTTAGTGAATCTTAAAGCAATGAAAGAGATAAATCTTGCAGAGGCAGATTGTCAATAAATTGAAACCTACAAACTTTAAGCCAAGATCAATGTGTGAATATTCCAAAATTGCAAAAAATATTTAGACATTTAAATGAATCTTGATCTGAACAAATAAAAAAACTTCAGGCAACTTAATTAGATATCAACTGAGTTTGACACTCTACTGGAAAATGAGTAAAATTATTAATTGCTATTTAATGTGCTGCAAATATCTTATTACATTTTTAAATGGTAACTGATAATGTTCACTTAACATGAAATTACCTTATGGATCTAGAGGGTTGTAATTTAGAATATTCTATCTGTTCAACTAGTATGAAAATCTCCTCAATATGAGCATCTAGGGGATCAAAAACAGCTTCAAGTAAGTTCACCAGCCCATTTGTCTATAGACTTTAATGCCTTCATTAGGGCACTAAATTCAGCCTGTGTTTGAACACTAAGTTAATCTCAGTTTTCCTTTCCATCATTAGCACAGTTGGGCAAAATTTTTCAGATAATAACTGGTTTTCAGTGAAGAGTGTATATTTAGCTACAACATTTCATGATTTCACATCAGTTGACTGAATTGTTTTAGCTGAATTTAAAAAAACAAAACAAAATATTCTAAATATTCAGTTCTAAATATTTTTGGTGAAAAAAATGTAAATGTGTACTAAGAAAGACCCAAACATTTTGATTTTGTCAAAGCAAAATGTTTCCTTCAACACAAACTGATTTTTTGACATTTCTATGAGCTGAAAATGACTCAGTGCTTTTCATTTTCAAAAACATTAACTAACACTAGCAAAGTGTGTGACTCTTCTTATTCTCAACCCCACAGGAGAAATGAGGAAACAAAAGCAAAGGCTATGTGACTTGCCCAAGGTTACAGAAAGTCAATGACAAATTTGTGATCAGATTTTAGAAGTTCCTGGCTGTGAACTTTTTGCCTGTCACTTGCTTTTGCATGGAAATGGAACAAATGATAATTGGAAAGAAAAAAATAATCACTTAAACAAGCGAACCTTCTATGAGTAATCAAGAAATGCATTATAAATGGCATTCCTTCGCACTCTTTTTTCAGTAGCGAGGGGGCAGGAAGGAAATCATCCAGTGATCAACATTGCACCTAATACTCATTCTGATTTCCCAAGGTTCAATTTTACTTTTTTTGGTAAATTTTTGGCTCTTCGTCAAAATTAGAAGAGTCAATGAGCTCCTTACCAACCTTACAATAATGAACCAGATGTACAGAGCTCAGTGTTCTAGAATAAGCCAATAACAATAAACGAGTACACATCCCAGCTCCCACAAGCCACCAGGAGAGCCTCACCTAGTACTCAGAACCAACCCTATGAACCAACTCCAGTGTACATGTATAGAGGATCCTATAATAGCAAACCAATGAGTTTCTGCAATTGGAGAGGTTGGGGTCATTAAGGAAAATGAATGGGCCAAGGAGGTGAATGAAGTTTACAAAATACTTTTCAGATAATTGGAAAATCCTGTTGCTTGTACCAGCACTATAAGTGGCAGCAACTTTGCCAGAACATTACAGACACAACTGTGAAATACTGATGCTGCGGGGGTGAGAGGAAAACATCCCCTATCTCAAAATTATTCTTGTGGTGTCTATGCCAAGCTTATCAAAGGTAGGACAATTGGAAGGGATTCAGAGAAGTGCAACAAAAATGGCTGGAGCAGATGACTTATGAGGAAAGATTTAAAAAAGCTAACTACACATAGCGTGGCTGAGCGATAAAGAAGGCAGGTATCTAATCACAAGTACAAGTATTTGGATAATATAAATGTCAGGAAGGAACGAGGTTTGTTTAGAGTAGGCAAAGAACTAAGAGTAATGGGATGAAACTCAAAAGAAAAATGAATAGGTTGAACATCAGGAAACAACTGGCAGTAAAATATGATAAACTATGGAGCAACCTCTCTAGGGATGCGGTGGATGCTTACTCACGAGAGCCATTTTAAATTAGTCTGAGAAAAGCACTGGAAAATATAGGAAATAAATCTTCCATTGACCTCCTGGTTTGAATGAATGCCAAAGCCTTCATTGGTTTTTTCCAACTTTAATGTCTGCGGGCCTAATCCAAAGCCCACTCAAGTCAATGTGAGTCTTGTCCTTGACTTCACTGGGCTTTGGATCCATTCCTCTGTTTCAAAAACAGGAATTCCATTTAATTTGGAGCTTTCAATGAGGAAGGGTGGGAAGTGAAATGCAAGCATGGGGTGGGGGAAGGTACCTAGTCTTAATAATAATCTTAGTAACATTGCTGAGTGTAGTTAAGGCCCAAGTCTTTGTCTTTCTTACCTCGTCTCCAATGAGGAATTCGTCATCTACAGTGAAGGTGACTGGGTCATTGGGACTGACCCACCACAGTGGCCGGAAGATGGGATACCCCCACGAGAGCCATTCCTTGCTGAATTTTATAATGAGGGGCACAACAAAATCTTGATGCCTCCGTATGTATTGCCTAGTGAGATTCAGGACCTGAGGAGAAGAATTCAGCATGATCTTTCGCTTAATGGCAATAAAAGCAGAAAAATGAGATGGCTAAGTCTACTTATGTATAGCTGGACAGAAAGAAAAGCAGATGCAGTAAGTCCTAGCAGAATAATCAACAGAGATAGCAGACAATCATGTGCAAATAGCTGTGAGCTGTGCATGTCAGTAACATCCCCTCTGGAGTCATCTCTTCTAACCCATGAGTGATGACCCTTCTGCCACTAGTGTAGAGGGTATGATTTAAACACTCACTCTTCCACCTTGAATTTTCACAAATCATTGGACCTTAGTCCAAAATAACGCCCCCGCCCCCCAAAAAAGTTCAAATTAGTAAGTGGAGCATCCACACTGCCAAGCCCATTATTTCGGAATAAGAGGCTGTGGAATTCAAACTCTGTACCCCCGCTTTTCATCAGGAATAACACTAATTGCGAATTTATAAGTTGAAAATAACATTAGTGTGGACACTCCGGTGACACTAATTTGAACTCGCTGGCCTCCAGGAGGCCTCCCACAGCTCCCCAGAATGCTTCCTGGGGCTCTGAGTCCAAGATAGTGCGTCCACATTAACAGAGCCTGCCTTGGTCTAATTTCAATGCTTTCCCGTAGTAAGGACACACAAGTTCGAATTTGTTAAATTGGAAGTTCTTAACTAGAATTTAGTAATTTTGAAATGATTTCCTAGTGTAGACATGACCTTGTAATCTCCCTCAGCTCCATATTTGAGATCAGATACTTGCTGCTTTAGAGGCAGGAGGGAAGTGAATCTTTCCTAGGTTCATCTACACAGTTGTGTGTAGCTCGAAATAAGTTACACACTTTGAGCTACGCAAATTATGTAGCTTATTTCGAGATAGCCTGGATATTTGGCGCTGTCCCAGAAGTGGCTGAAATGTCTCTGCAGCCCCTAGGCAGAAGGACAGTTCTGTGCCCTGCCTCCATGCCCAGCGCTGGCTCTGCAGCTCCCATTGTCTGGGAAACGTCGCCAAATGGAGCAGCAGGGGGCACCTGCGGGCTCAGACAGTACACAGAGCTCCCTGGCCCCTCTGCCTAGGAGCCGGTTATGCCTGCCTCATGTGGAGGCAGGGCAGGCAGGGAGCTTGCTTTAGCCCTACTGCATCACCAACCAGGAGCCACCTGAAGTAATTATCACCCAGCTGGAGCTTGCAGCGTGAACCCCCTCCCACACCCAAACTCCAAGCTCCAGCCTTGAGTCCCATCCTTCACTCCAAACCCCTCATCTCTGGTCCCACCCCAAAGCTCACACCCCCATCCTCAGCCTGCACCCCCCCCCATATCCCTACCACCTGCCCCAGCCTTGAGCCTACCACTGCACTCTGAACCCCTCAACCCCAGCCCAGAGCCCCCTCTTGCACCCTAAGCCCCTCATCCCTGGCTCCACCCCAGAACCAGCCCAGGACCTCACTGCCTCATGCACCCCAACTCCCTGGCCCAGCCCAGTAAAGGAGAGTAGGTTGGGGAAGTGCAAGCAACAGAGGGAAAGGGAATGGGGTGAATGGAGGCAGGGCAGGGGCAGTGTGGTTTAGTGAGATTAGGAGGTTGGAGACTGTAGGCCTGAGTGTGCCAGGGAGCACTTGTTCAAGTAGTATGGAGAGCAGTGGTGGGCAACCTGTGGGATGCCTGCAGCTACTCAGAGTAAGCCGCTGGCAGACTGTCAGATAGGCTGTTAACATTGTGTTCACACGTAGAGCCGCCTGCAGCTCCCATTGGTCACGGTTCGCCACTCCCAGCCAATGGGAGCTGCAGGTAGCCATACCTGTGGACGCAACATAAATAGCCTGTCTGACTGCCCACCAGTGGCTTACCCTGACTAGCCATGTGCAGCCCAAGGCCGAAGGGTGCCCACCGCCGAGGTAGGGAGTACATACCCAGTCGTCACAGCAGACCCATGGCGGTGTGCTGAAGGACATCACTGGAAGAAATGTCACAATCTGTAGCCAGCGTATATACAGCTCCTCTTCAGTCAGAAACTCATTTGCCAGGGTCCCTCCTGTGCAGGACATGTGCAGTTTGTGAAAAGGCAAATGTATGCAGTCATCTATAATGATACTAGAAGACTTACCCTGCATTGTTCAAGTCCTTCAGGGCAGGGGGCTGGCAGTGTGGGGGGTGCAGGAGTCAGGGCAGGGGCCGAGATCTCAGGGCAGAGGGATGAAGGCAGGGAGCTAAGAAGTCTGGGGGGGAAGACTCACCGGAAATGCCTGTGGTGGCAAGAATGGTGCTGTGACTGCTGCCCCCCGCCCAGGGCTGGCCTTACCATGAGGCAAACTGAGGCAACCGCCTCAGGTGCCAGACTGTGGGGGGGCACCACTAGGACCCAGAGTGCAGAAAATTGTGTCTGCTGCTGGTGCATATTTAGGTAGCAGAGCAGTACCATGAAAGGAGTAGAACAGGAAGAAGGCAGAATTGAGACTTTTCAAAGTTTTGGCCCAAGCGAGGGGGTGTCATTTGAGCTCCCTGCTCAGGTGCCAAATGTTGTGGGCCAGCCCTGACCCCACCTCCTTTGGGGGAGGAGGGAACCAGTTCCTCCGGGGGAAAGAACTGGGGCTGCAATGCCTGACCCCAGGGCATTTTGGGGGGGTGCTGCCTGGTCATGGCCCCCACCAGTGCTCCTCTAGAGTAACAGGGCTGCTGGCTGGTGGGCCCTGCCACCAATCTGGAACTGTGGCTGTGGCCCAGGGGTAAGGGTTTTGGGACTGGGGGCACTGACCTGGGTCAGTGGCTGGCAGCATGTAGAGCCCTGGGCCCAGCTGGCCACTCTCTTTGCCTCCTTGTGACCACTCTGCAATATAGCTACCCCCTGCACCCAGTGCCCCCGGTGGACACTCTGTAGTATAACTGTCCCTTCTATCAGCCCCCTCCCTTTCTGTGGTATGGAAAAATTTCCTTTTCGAGGCACAGTCTGTTTTACTCTGACCTTGCTTTAAGCTAGGATCAGAGGAAGCCACATACCCAATTTGGTGGTCCTAATCTCTTACCATTTAGGAGGCAATCTTGAACAGACAGACTCACAGACGGACAGACTCACAGACAAACTTTCTAAAATATACACATATAGATGCTCTAACTTCGGGATCTGTGCTGCTGCATGGTGCCAGATACAAAGCCCTAGAAACCTAGCAGTCTGTAGTTTTACCCACATCACAGGAAGTAGCAGCTTCCCCTCCCACCCCCAGCCCACTGCCGTGTATTTCAGTCTCTTCTGGAGGGGTAAGAAGATACTTTAGTTGTCAGGCCTATTCGGTCCTTAGCCTCTCTGTCAGACTGCGAACGAGCATGCGAGTCAGGGGCCTTGTCTGTGGACATGGGTGGAAGGGCTGAAATCACTGGCTTGATACACAGAGGATACAGAACAGCTGGCAGCTGTAACACCTTGTCACTAGTATGGAATGTGAATGATGGGCGGGGAGTGGGGAGGATTTTCAGAACTTCTGAAGTGGCTAAGTGAACTGGGATCCTAAATCCCTTTGATTTTCAGAGGCTGGAGCCACTCTTGCCTCCTGGCATTGGTGCTTGCAGCTTGGCAACCGGAGGCAGGGGACTTCCTGGTTAGGGGTCCAGCCTGGGACCAGGCCTCCCGACTCTCCTCTCCAGCCGTATGGGCTGAGAACGCACTGCCCACCGGGGCTTCAGGGCCAGGGCAGGCTGCAGTCACACTGCTTGCTAGTTCTCTGGAACTCTGGGGCAGGCTGCAGGCTCTACCCTGGGACAGGCAGCAAGGGCCACCAGCCACTCTGGGGGGGCTGGCTGGGTGCCTCCCCGAGGCATGGGGTCACCCAGGCTTATGGCTAACTGCATCTTCACTCAGAGCTTTTTCAACATCTATGTCAGTCAGCCCTCACAGTTCCTTGCTCCCCTGGGCCCTGGCCAATTTAGCTATTGCATCAGAAGTCTATAGTGGAGATATGGCAGATTCACTACTGCTAAATTTGGACAAATGACCAGGTAGACTTTGAAGCCTCTCCCATTTCGCATCTCACTGAGGAAAAATGGGTGCGGTGGACTTCACACTCCGGTGAGGTGGGAGAGGTCACCCCTCTTCTGTGCTGTGGTTTAGCTGGTGACACTTTTCTGCCGGTCTGGGTTAGAAACGGGGCAGGATCAGATCATCAGGGGGTGTGCACCTTTATCAAAGTTATATAGAACCACGTTGCTTTATAAAGGCTAACGACCAGGCCTGTGCACTTGCAGTAGGGGAAAAAAAGGTGTGTGTTTTGTTGTTGTTGTTGTTGTATTTTACAAAAACCTAGATTTGTATAGAAAACTGATGATAGAATTTTGGTAAGCAGAACTGACTGAATTCTTTCAAAAAAAAATCAGACAATAAGTGTTTTGTCAAAAATATTTGCTTGTATTATGGCGAGATAAATAGTTTTGATTAAGTTTTTCATTTTCCAAAAAGAAATTGAGGGGATTTTTTTCTTTTTTTTTCTTTTCTCTCTCTCCTTTTAATTAATTAATTAAACATTTTCAGAATTTTTGGTTTTGAAATGACCAGGTAAAACCTACTTTTCCCTTTCACTTCCTGAGAGTTTTCAGATTTTTGCCAGTTGGAAAACTAATTGAAGTGTTAACACTAAAAAATAAAAATATTGTTAAACTGCAAGAAAGTGTGAGAACGTCAAAAACAAGCACCTCATTCTTCAATATTTTTGGAATTTCCTATTGGGAAAATTTCAAAAGGGGATTTTTTTTCCCTTGCAAAAAAATTTTGCAAGAAAAATCCTGGTTTTCCAGGCTTCTCTGCTTGTAAGGATAATATGTCTGAAAATGTGAGAGTTTTAAAAGAAGAGGTCATAATAACTGTAGAAGCAGGCATGTTTCGGGACACAACAGAACAGATTCTAAATTGGTACACACAGACATAGCTTTGTTGATGTCACTGCAGCAATTCTGACTTACCACCGACTTTGGATGGAAACCCACGTGGTCAAATGGAGACAAAAAGTTTTCCAGAGAGTTTAAAAATGAGGGCAACCGGTTGGTCTATAAACTGATCTATTGGTGCTGACTGAATGGGGCAGACAGGGAGTGCAGGTAAGGAGGAACTGACCATGTTACTGGTCATGTGCTGAAATAAAAACAATTGAATCCACCTCAGTCCATGTTGCTGAAGATTAATAAAGTCAAAAATGGGGAACCTACATCCAAGGGCCTCGGGGAGAGATGGCACTGGCCACCCGCCCCATGGCAAGCCGAGCGCAAGTGGAGTGCCAGCATCCTGAGTTGAGTGTGAGTCGGTGAGTGTGTCTCTTTTTCTGTGTGTCAGTGACCCCTAACCGAAAAAAGAGTCCCCACCTCTGAATTAAGTGATGCAATGGTAACTCCAGATGGAGTATCACAGTACACAGGCTACGGAGATTAAATTACCAAAAAATATTCTAGATAAATCACCTGCCAAAAGAAGGAAAATCTTAAATTTTCTCTCTTGCCTTCTTTCTTTTCAGATTTGAATGGTTTAACAGCAATGCCAGGTCTTGTCAAAAAGAAATGCAGTTCCTGCTCACCACTCCAGCAAGCTTAATATGTAAGATTTTACAAATTCCAGTGAAGACATGCCTTTCCTGTATCTGTTTTCTGCTGGTTATCAGTACACTTATGTGAACAGAAGCTATTTCCTTTCTCATCAGCCTCCTCATTCTCTCACATTCATTCAATCACAATCCAGAGCCTACAAAATTACTGTACAACACTGGGAAAGTCATTTTGACATCACAAGACCCTAAACTGAAGAGTGAATGAATGATTCATACAGTAGTAGGGAAACGATTGTCATAAAACAAAGAATCTTTGTTTTGTTTTGTCAGAATCCTGGTAATCACCACTGAGAAAGGTATTATGGAGAGATGCATATCAACAACAAGCCAGAATGCAATTGGACAGGAAATATACTCCACTTTCTAATGTTATCAGGAGATGAAATTCATCCTTTAGAAAGAATCTGCACTGAAGATTTCAATGGGATTTAAATAACATACAAACTTTGTGCAGCTGATCCTGTGCGCTGAGGATGAATTTTACCTGGAGTAATATGAAATATGTATGTAATCAGGTTTTGAAAAGTCAAAAACTTGGGAAATAGATGGTTTTGGGATAGGACAATTTTGATTTCTAAGTCACCAGTTTGAATCCAGTCCTAATTATTACTGGAGACAGGCATAGAGCAAGGCTTTATTTGTGCAGGGGCTTAACCCTGGCTGGCACTTCTTCTCATGCTAGGGCACCGTCCCACGGCCTCTTCCATCAGTGGCATTTAATAAGGTGCACAGTTCTACACCTGCACTCACATCATGGCCTCATCTGTACCATTAGTGCGAGGTTGCCCTGTCTGGGTGATGCCATTTTGTTCTATAAAATGGCATCCTCCACGCGGCATGACCTTGTATGCATGGCGGGCACCATTTTGTTACACTTAAGCCCTGGCACTTCTTCCTTTTCAAATTAAACACTGCTCAGGAGACCTTGGGCCAGATCCTCCAGTAACTGAGATCCGTATAGCTCCACTGACATCAGTGGAATTCCTGGGTCTCATGCAGGAGCAGATTAAGCAGCCTGGATTGCTCACCCTGCTGTCACAGGAGGGTGGCAACCTAGAGGTCCATGCGTTGTGCCCAGATTTATGCCAATATACCACAACATTTAAATTCTTAAACTTCAGAGGGGTAGCCGAGTTAGTCTGTAACTGGAAAAAACTTAAACAACAAATAGTCTAGTAGCACTTTAAAGACTAACAAAACATATAGATGGTAGCATGAGCTTTCGTGGGCACAACCCACTTCTTCAGATGAATTCTTAAATTCTTAGTTTTTCCTGAAGTTATTTCAAACAAACCCATTAGAAAACATCTTAACCAAACATAGAGAGCTTTGACCCCTAGACACCGCACTGTAAAGTTTCCTGCAAAGAGCAGCACCACTAGGATTAACAGCGCTTGTGGCTAGGGAAGAGGCTGGGTTCAGACCAGGACTGAAATATGTTCCTGATCTTCGT